AGTGGGTGCTTGAGAAGCCACGTGAATGACACGAGGAGGAGCAAGAAGCAGCTGTGCATAGCAGTGAATAAAAACAGCAACGAAAACAACTCAAGCCCTCCGAAAGAAACCTCTGCTAGGAAAGGACAAGAGACAAAGAAGAAAATCCGATGAGGTTTACACAAGATAAGTGCTGCAGAGCCCGGGGGGTGCCATGTGTCTGCATTGAATGAGCAAGCATTCCCAGGCCAGAGTGCAAACCAGACGCTCGGGGGCTCTTCTTTTGAGGGGTCCTTGGAGGTCACAGTAGTGCTCAGGGACTACTCCAGGGTCTGTGCTCAGGGGCCATGCAATGCTGGGGATTGAACAGGGGCTGGATCCCTGCAAGGCAAGCACTTTAAGCCCTGTACTATCTGTCTGGCCCTCCTGGAACCTTGTAAATGCTTAAGAAAACTAAACAGAAACCTGCCTCTCTCTCTGGGACTGTTGGACTGGAGGAGGCCCAGACACGGGAATCGCTAAAAACATCCCAGATGACACTAATGAACAGCACATCTGGGAGCCACTGCTGTGTTTGGTCAGAGTTCCCAGGGGCAGACGAAGTGCTGGATCCTTCCAATTCATGACAGAACGGGAAGGGAAGTGAAAAAATGCAGAAGCTCTGCGGCTTGGTCTGTCCCCTGTCCGCACTCCCAGGCTTCTTCCATCCCTCAGCCTCTCCTGCTCTCAGCTCACTCAGACAGGAAGTGGAGTTCTTCACAGATGCACTTACTTTGCCCCAGCCCTGACCCTGGCTACCTAAGGGGAACTCAGAGGCCGCCAGGGCCTCTGCCTGAGCTCCTCCTACGCATATGGACAACCGCAACTCCGGGCCAAAAGTCACGCCAAAGCTTGTGGTCTTACTACAGCGCTGGAGCCACACAGATAAAACAGGGGTAAGAAGCCTGCCTTGCGTGAATTCACCTGGCTTAATCTCCGGGACGACATGGCCTCCTGAGCACGGCCAGAAGTGACCCCTGAGCGCAGAGACAGGAAAGGCCCCAGTGCACTGCTGCATGTGGTCCCAACATCCCCCTCCCCTGAAAAAATAAAAAGGATAATTGAAGCTCCGGGAGAGGACAGTTTGTATTGCTCGGAAAAGGTGGCTGCTTCGAGCATCTTCATAAATGCAGCCATCAGACCCACCATCTATCACTGTGTCTTTACAGAGCACAGCGCATCTCTGCTGCAATGCCTCAGGCAGCCGTTACAAAAGGTTCCTTCCCTGTGCTTGGCGGGACAGAGATGGATGGAAGGAGTGGCAGGCAGGCGGGCTTCAGCAGGATGTCGCATCCCACTCACAGTGGGCGCTGTCCTGGCGGAGCCTGGGAGCAAGTGGCCATTGTAACTTAGGATGGCAAGAGCAGAGGCAGCCCAGGCCCGCTGCCAGCAAAGGGGGGGACGATGTCTCTGAGCCACTGCGAGCTAGGGCACAGGTTCCTCCCAAGCCAGCATGCAGGCAAGCTGGGCGAGGGAAGGGGCAGCTCGGGAAGGAAGCATACCATGCCGGTGCCAGGAGTGCCCGGAGGGCTGGGATTTGCCTGAGTGAAAGGAGGGGGCTGAGTTCCAGACCTCTGCTTCCTTCCCTACTCACCCTCCTGCCCACTCTGGAGAGGACAAAGACTCAGTAAGGCCCGGGGCACTCGCCTGAGAAAGCACAACTGCTGGGACTCGGAGAGAAAGCTCAGCAGGCCCAAGACAGGCATTTTGTTTTGTTCTGTTTGGGGGCCACACTCAGCGATGCTCAAGACTTACTCCTCGGGGCTGGAGCGATAGCACAGCGGGTACAGCGTTTGCCTTGTACGCAGCCAACATGGCCGACACAGGTTCGATTCCCAGCATCCCATAGGGTCCCCCGAGCACCGCCAGGAGCAATTCCTGAGTGCATGAGCCAGGAGTAACCCCTGAGCATCGCTGGGTGTGACCCAAAAAGAAAAAAAGAAAAAAAAAGACTCACTCCTGGCTCTGTGCTAAGGGATCACCCCTGGTGGAATCGGTGGGGGACCCTGCGCTGTTCCATCTCTCCTGCTCCCTGAACACAGGCTTTGCATGCTGGAGCCTTGGATTTGATCCCTGGTACCACCTGGTCCCCCAAGCACTGCCAGGAATCACCCCTGAGCATAGAGTCAGTAGTAGCCCTCAAACACTGCCCAGTGTCCCCCCCACCAACCCCAACCCACAACAGAGCACAACTGAGAGCACATAAGAGGCGGCAGGCTTCCAGCCTCAGACACAGCGTGGTGACCGTGTGGCTCACTTGGCCACCTTGGTACCTTGGCCGTAATGTGACCACCCATCCACTTAATGGCATGACTTTATTTCAGCGTCAAGGGGGCCTTATCTGGGGCCCAAGAAAAGCCAGCTGGACAAAAGTATCAGGGTCCAAACAGACCTCTTCCCATCTAGATGCTCCACCTGGCTCCAGGCACGAGTTTAGGTGTAAGGAAACCTCCGTGACCATCTATAGCACCGCACGAGTGGGGGAAATGTCCAGGTCTCTCTCCTCTCATTGCCTGCAGACCCCATTACTTTATAGTTGGCTGGAAGCCAGGCAAGTTCATGCTGACCAGCCACCTGCCCCACGACACGCTGCCTGAAGACCGACAGATCCAGGTAAACACCCTTTCATGCTGCCTGCAGCTTCCAACCTTGCTCAAGGACCATCAGGGTGTAAAGTCACAGTCAACTTGATTTCCTGCCTTGGCGCCCCCAGTTGGCCTCCATGCACATTGCAGGCCGAGTTCTCCTCCTCTCGGCTGCAGCCTCCTCTAAGGCCAAACAAGCCCGCAGCAGGAGTGGCATTGAGGGAAAGGCCACTTGGTGTCCTGAGCTAGAAATGGTTCATGGTGGAGTTTTAGAACATTGACACTGGAGGCAGAGTGACAGTGCAGAGGGTAGGGCATTTGCCTTGCACATGGCTGACCTGGGTTCAATCCCCGGCATCCCATATGGTCCCCCAAGCACCGCCATGAATAATTCCTGAGTGCAAAGCCTGGAGTAACCCCCGAGCAACTCTGGGTGTGACCCAAAAAGAAAAAAAAATGAGACTGGGTATACCTTCAAGCAGAAACAACTTCTGGAGAATAAGCAAAGCTTAAGGGGCCAGGAGGATAGGACAGCGCCTTGCACCAGGCCAACACAGGCTCAATCCTAGCACTGCACATGGTCCCCTAGATTAGGAGGTGTTCTCTGCAGAGCCATGCATGGGCCTGAGCACAACCAGTGTGACCCAGACTCCTCCTCCCAGAAGATCAATAAGGAGAGAGCAGAGGCTATGGGGAGGGCCCGTGAGCGGGGCTGGCACTCAGCACTGTCTGTTCAATGGAGCAGATATGAAGCCCCTAGAGAGCACTGGCAGGGGAACGGGAGAGGGGAGCTAAATGCATTTGTGGAGATGAAAACTGAATAGGGACTCCAAGCTGCCACTTTTGACTTGGTGGGCTTAGCACTCCGCGACTATTTCCACCAATCCTCACATCTCTAATGAGATCAGATATCTTTGGCTCCATCACGATGTCCATTCTCCCGCTCAGAAAGGCAAAGCTCAGAGAGATGGAGTAACATACTCAAGATCTTCGAGCTGGCAGATGACAGAGCTGAGTTCATGGGGGTCCAATCACTTCCCCACTGCCTCCCCCCTCCATCTCCAGGAAGAGTGCTCCCCCAATCAGGCCGGAAGAGTGCTCCTCAGGTCAGACCTCTAGACTTTTAGAAAAATGCACTGAAAATGCAGGGCAGAGCTTAGCAAGTGTTTGGAATTTTGCTGGTGTAGCCTGGCACTGGGCTGGAGAGAGTGGAAGTATCTACCTATATTCTCCCACCACACCTCGGCAACCCAGCCTCCTCCCTCCTCCCGTTGCCCTCCTGACCTCCAAGCAGCTGCCAGCATACCCTGCTGAGGCTGGAGCAAGCTATGGCAGCAGGGAGGCCATCTGTCTCCCACAGATGGGTACACTCAAGAGGTGCCCACATGGCAAACACCACAGGAGCCCAGGTGGTATGGCCAACTAAAGGCAGCTTCTGATTATTGTTTAAAACAAGGTGGTGCAGCTCAGGAGAACCTGTGTGGTGAGCATCGGGGGGGAAATTTTTGCTTGGCCTTGGAATCTTTCTTTTTTTCTTTTTTTCCCCTCCCTTTTGGGTCACACTGGGCGGTGCACAGGGGTCATTCCTGGCTCTGCACTCAGGAATTCCTCCTGGTGGTGCTCGGGGGACCATATGGGATGCTGGGAATCGAACCCAGGCAGGCCAGGTACAAGGCAAACGCCCGCCCCACTGTGCTATCACTCCAGCCCCAAGCCTTGGAGTCTTTAATAACCCCCAGTCCCCTTTAAATGAGTGTCACTGTCTGCCACATTTATGAATCCACTTGCCTAAGGTACGGAGAATTGGTCCCCAGAACTGGTCCCCCAAAGCAAATCCATCCTCTTTCCCTACAGAGTGCCTCACTGCTTCTAAGTAAGAAAAAGGAGCAAAACGGGGAGGGGGGGTGCGGGTGCGGGGGGGGGGGCTGATTTGGAGCATCGCTCATCCTCTGCGGGGTAATAGGTGCCGCTGTCTCCACGATGAGAGTCTCTGGTAACTGAGAATAAATCAAGAAGGCTAGCAGCTCTATCTAGGGGGGTTGGCAGCGCCAGCGACCGGCCGCGCGGGATCTACGCGGCGATAAGTGGTTTATGCAGATAATCCCAATTGATCTTCCCCGAGCCCTGCGGAGGTGTGAGGAGGCGGAGAGCAAGGTCGGGAGCGGCGAAGGGACTCGCCCAAGGCCAGGCGGCCCTTGGGGACGCCTCCAGCGTGCAACCCTCGTCCCGCCCCGCGCCAGCCGAGTCCCCGGCCCGCACCGTGTCCAGCGGAGTCCCCCGCTCCGCGCCGCGTCCGGCTGTGTCCCAGAGCCCCGCCCCGCCCCGCCCGGCGGTCAGCGGCGTCTCCTGCGACCGCGCCTCGACGCCGTCCCCGCCCGCCCCGCGCGCGGCCCTCACCCGCGGCTGGCGTGGCGCGCGCAGCGGCCGAGCGGCACCCGCAGCACGCCGTCGCTGAGCCCCACGAAGAGCGCGCGCGCGCTGTGCAGGATGCGGAGGCTGCGCAGCGGCTCTCGGCGCCCGGGCGGCAGCACGTGCAGCTCCTCCAGGTAGCAGGCGCGCAGGCTGCGGCTGGTGGCCGACAGCGCCTTCAGGATGGTGCCCGACTCTGCAGGGGCCGGGGAGCGTGAGCGGCGGCCCGCACACCCGCCCCCCACCCCGGCCGGGGGCGCCGGGCTCACCCGTGCCGATGTAGAGCACGTGGTAGAGCGCGTCCTTGGCCTGCACGAGGTCCACCACGAGGTGCGAGAAGCGCACGCTGTCCTGGGTGACGCAGGGCTCGGGGCTCACGGGCTGCACCGCCTCGCTCATGAGGAACAGGCGCTGCGCGTCCTGCAGGCTGCGCTCCGTCAGGTTCTCGTTGGCGCCCGCCTCGGGCAGGGTCCCGCACTGCAAGGGCCGGTGGGTCACGCGGGCCCCGCGCCCCCTCCTTCAGCAGGCGGCCCCCGGGTTCCCCTTCCCGGGGAAGAGGCCTCTTCTTTGGAGACGGGGGAGCAGGAGAGGGCCAGGCACACGACAGCTGAGTGTGGGAACACGTGTGGTTTCTCCCTTCTGTGCCTGCCGGCTGCAGGCCCTTAGACCTTTTGTCCATCGGAAGCTGGGACACAAGAACACTCTCCAACTATAGCCCAGAGGCGTGTCGGTGCACACGGACGCTCAGGAGAGCTGTGAGGGCAGCAAGAGTGTGGGGGTCTTGCCCAGGATCCCAGAGAGGAAAGATCCGGCACAGCTGGACTACCCTGCTCCAGAGCCCCCGTTAGCAGGGGCCTCGTGGCTGGATGGCACAGAGACTGCCCCTCTGTGCCCAGGCTCTCCTTCCCCACTGCCCTGGGGACGCCTGCCTGCCCTCCCACTGGGTCCTGACACGCCCAGCACCCAGACCCAGGCATTAGCACCCGTGGAGACTGCACAAGCTTCTATTCTGCTGCTGGCTGACCAAATGGCTGGTGAGGTGAGTGCTCACCTGGCACCCCAGGGGGCTCAGTCCTCACTCCCTGCCTTCCGGGCTCCATTCCATCTTCAGATGGCCCCTTGCACTTTGTCCCCTTGTTAATCCATATTCTTAGAGGTGACCACAGACCCCGCAGGTGGCCACAGCTTGACAGCTCCAGTTTGGTGTTTGTGCTAATCTGTTCGGGATCAGCTTGTGGCTGGTGATCTGGGGGCGGCATTGTGTAAGGAGCAGGAGGGGGGAGGGGACCACTGTACCTGGAAGTTGGGGATGGGGTTGGCAATGGGGAGCCAGGCCGCCCTGGGGTTCTCCTGGGAGCGAAACGGGCCATTGAACGCCTGGGAGATGGCACTGAGGTTGAAGGCGCAGACAGCAGAGGCGGCGATGCTGTTTCTGGAAGGTGAGAGAAGGGGGTGCTGTCCTGCCCGCATCCCAGCGCCCACCCAGAAGCCCTGCCTCCACTTCAGGTATCCCAGTGCTGAGCTGGGTACCTCTTGTCCTAGGGGGCTGTCACAGAAGGAGGACAGTGCTCCCCACTCTCCCTGAGCCTCTGTGTGAAAAGCTGCTAAGGAAAGGGTGGGTGCCTCTGGGCCCCTTCCACATCCTCTCTTACCCCCACGGGCAGTGAGTGAGGTCTGGTTTGCAGACATTGTAGCTCATGACCCACTGTGAGAAATACATTTTATGCTACATCTGAGTAACACACACACACACACACACACACACACACACACACACACACACACAGAGCAATGAATCTTCATGAAGAAGTACTTACCCTGCCACATTCATTAATAACACTCCCATGTTCTCTTCTGTTTCACATACATATCTGTATCTATTTTGTCCAAGCTAGTTGCTAAGCCCTGATTCGTCGCCTCTGCTAGCGACATCCAGGAGCCCTTTCAGTCACAGAGTCCATGGCTCCTGTGGGCCTGAGGCGAGGCAGCCACCGACACTTCCCACCCTGGTCTCTGCTCTTAGTCCCTCTCCTGGAGTGCCCTCCTCCTGCCCGCTCAGCCTGGCCTCTCCCTCTTCCTCCTGTGCCATCCTGCTGGCGACCACCCCCCGCCCCCCGACAGTCTAGTTCCCTTAATCCATTCTCCACACAGCAGCCAGAGACAACATTTCAAAACGCACAGTCCAGCCAGGGGCCTGCTTCAAAGCCTTGAAGATGGAGACCAGACCTGTTGGGCAGCCAAGCCCTCTCCCTCCGGCCTCTCTCCCACTGCTCCAGGCTGTTAGGTCTCCGAAGCACGAATGCTGAGCCTGGTGCCTCCTGTGCCCGGGGGCATCACAGAAGGAGGACATGTGCTCCTTGGCTCCTGCCATCCTGCCACGCTGGCCTCTGCTTTGTCCTTCAGACATCTCATCCTTTCCATCTCGGAGCTTCGTCTAGGGCAGAAATGCTCCTCTTCCCTCGTTAATCCCTTCTTATCCTGTGGGCACCACCTTCTACGGAAAGGCTTCCCTGATGCCACTCCTCCATTTCCCTGCACATCAACCTTCTTTTATATAGTATTTGTTGCAATCAAAGTGGATACTCAGGCACCAGAGAGGTATCACAGGGGTTAAGGTGTTTGCTTTGCATATAACCAACCCAGTTTGGTCCCTGCCACTGCCTGTGATCCCCTGTGCACCACTAAGGGTCATGTCTGAGCACAGAGTCAGGAAGAACCTCCAGCTCTGCCAGGTGTGGCTCATACAAACAAACAAAGTTCCCCTGGACATCTGTCAGCACTGTACCTAAGATGTGAGCTCTTGAAGGCAGCCAGATGCACTTCCTTGCTGGCATCCCTGCATCAAGCCCCCAGTACGTGCCAGGCAGGGAGTGAGCACATGATAAATAACTGATGTTACACTCGAATATCTCTCCAGACCACTTAGCAGCTCCTGCCTCTTTGCCCTCAGCTACCTACTTCCTGGGCCTGAGCTCTGGGATGGCTGCCAAGGCCTGGCCCTTAGCTCCTGGCCCATCTGGGCTGTGCTGCGTGTCTGCGCCCTGGCTCCCCTCTGCTCCTGCTCTTCACATACTAGCCCCCCCCCCCCCCGCCCCCCGCAGTGTGTGCCTGGCTCTCATCCCAGCCCACTCCCTGGACTGCAAGGTCAGCCATGCCTCTGGAGGGCTCCGCTGTGTCTGGCATCCTTGGAGTGCAGATGGTCCGGCTCTGTCCCGCAGATACTCTGCTGGCCCTTTGCTGTATTCCTTACCCTCAGTAGGCGAACACTGATGGAGTCTCACCCTCACATGCAGGAGTCCGCGGGGACACTCAGGCCCTCCGGAGGCCCTCGCCTGCTTCCCGCGCTCTCTCCCACAGCCTTTGTGACCTGCGGACTTAGCAGTTAGACTGAGCAGGACTGTGGAACCCTGGCGTTGCCAGGAGCACAAAGCATCCCTGTCGGTTGCTCTGATGGAGAAGGCTGGTCCTCCACCCCAGGCAGGCACTGACTCTCCTCAGCAGCTTCTTCCTCGGAGACACACAACTCAGCTCCGGATCTGGCCCGGGACTGTCACGGTGAACCTGGCTCTGCAGGCACATGGTACCAGCCTTGATCCCTGGCACCATGCAGTCACAGAGGCAGAAGCGGCCCCGGAGAGCCTGGCATGCCCACTCTCCACACCCCAAAACAGAAAGGATTTACCACTGATAGGTAGGCAGTAAGGCACTGGAGCCCAGATGCCTGGGAAAAGATCACATCCTGAGTGGGGGGCACTCAGGAGGCAAGACCGGGGGAGGGAGGGAGGGAGAGGGCTCGGAACTCACACGTTGGTGGTGAAGACCCCGTAGATGAGGTCCTGCTCAGGCAGGTGGAAGGCACTCTGCAGCTCATTGTAGTAGAAGGGGACCTCACCGGGGCGGGAGCAGTTAAGCCGGGCCTTCATGAATGTGGTCCACGTGTCTTCCAGCAGGAAGCGGCCTCCCACGTCGTTCTTGCACACGCGGGCCACCCTCGAGTACACGGTGCGCCCACAATCGTGCTCCACTGCGTTCTCCCGCAGGAAGAAGTAGGCGAACAGCCCGATGTCATAGGCGGCCACGAAGTTGGGCTCTGGGGAGCAGACGAAGACAAGGGGTGGGGGTTGGGGGGGTGGGGACACAGCAGGGGGAGTCTGGAGTATTGGGAGTCGTTTGAACCAAATGCCACCCTCACACACACTGCCCCCCACCCCCTGGCCAGCTGGGGGACTCGAGATTCTAAGCCCTGGTCCCACCTTCTGTGCAAGGTGCAGTTATAATGTTAATGTGGCGCACACTGCAAGCACTTGACATGTAAGTGCACCTGAGCCACAGAACAAGCCATGAGCCATGCAGCTGTGCAGGAGAGCGGGCAGACACCGGTGACCCCACCTGTCCCTCACAGCTGTGCTTCTCACTGGGCAGGGGGGAGGGCACTCCCCGCAGTGCTTGGGGCTTACTCCTGGTCTGTGCTCGGGAGTCACATGGGACACTGGGGGGTGAAATGGAGTCTGCAGCATGCCAGGTAGGCACCTTCTTCTGTACTCCAGCCCCACAAACCTGTACCTTACTTTTCCAGTCCTTTAAAAATTTCAAATACCTAACCTAAAACTTTTTTTTTTAGACGGCAATTTTGGGGAGTTGAGCCATACCATGGGTGCTAGGGAGCTATTCCTGGCTCTGTTCTCAGGAGCGACCTCTGGTGGTGCTGGGGGGCAGGGGGAAGGGCATATGTGGTGCCAGGGAAATGAGCCACTATCACTATTGCCACCAAATTGGCCAAATGCGGGGCAGGTACATCTACTTCTACTCTGGCTGAAGATGTGTGTGTGTGTGTGTGTGTGTGTGTGTGTGTGTGTGTGTGTGTGTGTGTGTAGGAAGTTTAGTATCATCTCAGGTTGCCAGCCCTTATAGCATACAGCAAGGGCACATGGAGGTTAACTACTTATGAAAGCCACATAGCTAGTTAACAGAGACACGGGAATTCAGCTCTAGGAAGCTGGGCAGAAAAGTCACACAGCCCCACCTGCCTCTTCTTTCTGGCCACCTTTCCTCCTGTGCAGTACCTAGAACCCTTCTCCCCTGAACTGCATCCCTTCTCCCCTGCGTCCCCTCTCCTCTACGCCCCCTCTCCCCTGCCCTGCATCCCCTCTCCCCTGCATTCCCTCTCCCTGCATCCCCTCTCCCCTGCCCTGCACCCCCTCTCCCCTGCCCTGCACCCATTCTGGGGCCTCCTGTGCTCTGTGAGTTCTCCGGGGCCTGACTGACCTGATGCTACTTGGGCAGATATCTGGCCCCCTCAGACAGGCCTCTTGATGAAGTGAAGTTGGCAGGAAGAAGGACTGAAGAGGGCCAGGGCATATCTGGCTGGATCAGAACCAGGATCTGGGCCTCCTTACCGTTGAGCCACTTGGAGTTGTACTGAGCCGTGCGGAGCGGCGGCCTGCTGCCCAGGCTGCGGTAGATGGCAGGGTCCCGGCCCGAGAAGTCGATGACCGTGGCTGCATAGAGCTCTCCTTGTGAGGAGATGACGGCTGTGGAATTGTGTCGAGGGTCGTAGGGGCAGCGGGCCGCGCCATTGATATTCTCCATGGTCCGGCTGAGGTTCCCCACCTGCAAACACAGGGGCATGAGGAGGGCAGTGGATGAAATACAGGAGGCCCAGATACAGTGGACTTCTGATGGGCGCTTTTACATTTGTATTTGTGTGTGCAGGAGGGACTTCTAAGAAATATTCAGGGGACCTGGCGGTCACTCCCAGCCACAGTCAGCCAACTGGGCCCAACAGTTCAGTGCTTCACTGGCCAGTGTCCATGCTGCTGAGGCCAAAACAGCCTAGGGACCAAGCCAGGACCTTGGGCCAGAGCCATAGGACAGCGGGTAGGGCACTTGCCTTGCGTGAAGCCAACCAGGGTTTGATTCTGGGCACCACCTACGATCCTCTGGGCCCTCCAGGAAGGATCCCTGAACACAGAGCTGGGGTAAGCCCTAAACACACACGGTTGTGTGTGACTCCAACACAAAAGAACAACAAAAACAAAACCCAGGGCCTCCCGTATGTAAGGGAGGTGCTCCCGCTCTTTCAGCTATGTCCCTGGATGTGGTTTTTGTTCATTTGTTTTGTTTTGGTAAGGTAAAGGCCCTCCCGTTGATCGTCGATTTGCTCGAGTGGGCCCAGTAACGTCTCCATTGGAGACTTTTGTTGTTACTGTGTCTGGCATATCCAATACTCTCGGTAGCTTGCCGGGCTCTCCAAGAGGGGCGGAGGAATCGAACTCGGGTCGGCCATGTTGGCCGCTTGTAAGGCGAACGCCCTACCCGCTGTGCTATCGCTCCAGCCAGCGGGTAGGGCGTTCGCCTTACAAGCGGCCAACATGGCCGACCCGAGTTCGATTCCTCCGCCCCTCTCGCAGAGCCCGGCAAGCTACCGAGAGTATTCGATATGCCAGACACAGTAACAACAAAGTCTCCAATGGAGACGTTACTGGGCCCGCTCGAGCAAATCGACGATCAACGGGAGGGCCTTTACTTACTTACTTACTTACTTACTTTTGTTTTGGGGGCCACACCCAGTGGTTCTCAGGCTTATGCCTGGATCCACACTCAGGGTTCACTCCTGGTGTTCAAGGGACCATATGAGGTGCTGAGGATGGAACCCGGGTCAGCGTGTGCGAGGCAGGTGCCCTCCCTGCTGTGCCATCTCTCTAACTCAAGGGTATGTTCTGAGAATAAGTGTTTCCTTGATTTGCACAGGACATTCTGGTGCTGAAAACGGTCTTTGTTGTTGGTCTGAGATGCACTCACAACAGCACTCCTCCCCCCACCCCCCGGGTCTAGTTTGGACTTTACACACACTTCAGCAGCCACACGCCAACCCAGGGGCCCACCTGTCTGCTGGAGCACACTGGGGAAAAGGCGTTGGTCCCACACATGAACACCTTCCGGCCCGTGACAATCAGCACGCGCACATAGTTCTGGCACTCCTCCTGAGGCAAGAAGAGAAAGTCAGTAAGAGTGGGTATGGCACCCCCAAACCCCCAGCTCTAGATTTCCCCAGATCCTCCCTGCTCCAAGCCCAGGGTGCATCTATGGTGTCCTTTCCCTGCAACCCTGCTTCTCGACTTATTCTGACGCAAAGGGCTGCGTCCCCACCTGGTGACCCTGGGGACCTCCATCCCGGGGACACCTACCTCTGTCTTCCCTTTGCTTTGGCAGGAACGGCGCGTTTCCTCGTTGGAGGCCCACTCGGTGGCCTGTGGGGGAAACACACAGGATAACCTGGCCATGCCACCAACTGCCAGGGCGGGCAGCAGGCTCTGGTACAGGCAGGAGGGGGGAATGGGGTGCGGCAGCCTGCAGGGGGCAGGGGGGGCACCTGGAAAAGGAAGCGTTCTCTCAGCTCACCCCCACTTCCACTCGAGGTGCCATCGCCCCGCAGGTTCTGCCTGGGGACTCCCTGCTCCCTCCTTTTCCAGGTCAGCCGGGAGCTGGAAGTGGCCAAGACGGAGCTCACAGCCATCCAGGCCGGGGTGGGCGACGGGAAGTGTGGCTCCCGTGCGTGGCAGAGTCCCTCCGTGTGGGAGGCAGCCAGGAGGAAAGGCGGGATTTGCAACCTTCCAGATGGTTCTGGCTCATTCCACCAGATCCTGACGAGGCGGCTGGGGCTTTCCCTCAGATCCGTGTGCTCTGTGCTGGAGCGGGAACCAAAGCCAGGCCCCCCCACTTTCTGGTTTTTCCTTGCACCCAGCAGCAACCCTCCCCCCAGCCCCCCAGCTCTGCACGGCCTGCCTCTCTCTCTCCTGCGCCCGACAGAGTCGCCCATATCTGGGATCTGGGGATGCAGAAACTGTGGTTCTGTCCCCACGCCTGCGCCCCGCTTTCTCTGCACCTTCCAAGTCAATGTTGACAGCCTTGTGGTGGCTCAGCAGAGATTTCTGGGTCATATGTAAAACATGTCTGTCCTGGGAGGGCGCTCTGAGCTAGCGACACTCCTGTCCAAACTGGGGCGACCAACCTCTTCATTTCTAACAAAGCTCCTTTCTGGTTGGCTCACTGGCCGCAGAGCTCCGGGATGGGGGGAGAAGGGGGAGAGGGAGCTGCGGGTCCCTCTGATTTCTTACAGGGTGTATTGGGGAGGGGGTGGGGTTGGGGGGGAGTGGGCAGCAGCAGAAGGAAGTGAATTTCTATAAGCCCCGGAGGCAGGAGCCAGTTGGCAGGCTGGGCCTGACCCCTCCAGCCTGGGGTTCAGGACTCTGCTCCCTGCCATGGACCAAGCACAAAGGGCTCATCTGCGCAGAAAAAGTGAGCCTGCCTGCTCTGAGGGGACGGGGAAGAGGAACAAGGGCCCTTAAGACCTCTAGGGACAGCAAAGAGAGACAGCCCACAAATGTGACTGGGGACAGTGGGAGGCGGCCGGGCAGGTGGGCAACCTCGTTCTTTTGCTTCTGCTTTTTGTGCCATACCTGGCGGTTTTCAGGGCTTACTCCTGGTTCTGTGCTCAGGGACTTGGGGATCAGCCCTGACAGTGCTCGGGGGACCTGATGGTGTTCATACGCCATGCCTGGCATTGACCCAGGGTCGCAGTCACCCCGGTGCTATCTCTGGCCCCTCGCCTTGCTCCGAGGAGATCCCCAGCGGGGAGGAGGGGCAGGTGTGCACAGTGGAAAGGAATGGCGTCTTGGGCTGGGATTGGCTCAGTGGGAGAGCACAGGCCTTTCCTGCAGGAGACCTGGGTTCCAGCCCAGGCACTGCCGAAGCAGTGAGGCCGCTTCAGGCAGGGCAGCATGTGCTTTGCTGCATGAGGCCCTTGGCTCCATCCCTGCCACCACACGGCCTCCAAGCATCTGGCATCGCCCCCAGAAATCAAAAAAAGGAATTAGTCTCTGATGGTCCTGTGCCTGAAACTCAACAATAAATAACTTTGTAAGTTAGGATGCCTAAATAAAAACCTAATTGTATAAAACCCGTTTAAAAAAAAAAGGAATGAGATGATTCGTGTAAGCGGAACACCAGGCAGCACCGTGTTCACCTCGACAGCCCTCAGCGCCCCACTCACAAGGCCCGTGGCTCTCTGTTCGCCTCGCCAGTGGGAAGCCATGTCCAGAGGGGCTGGGTTGCGTACAGGCCCAGGGGGAGGCAGTCTCCACTGCACCCTGCGGCCTCTCCCAGGGACGAGATTGCTCAAACCAAAAATTAGAACATATGGCCTGAGAAGAATCTGTGTATTTATAATGATTGCAGCACAGAGCGAGCTTGTTTGCGTCGTTTTATTTATTTTTATTTTATTCTTAAAGAGTTCTTTTAGAAATTGTGACAGCAATGATGCATGAGGCTGGAAAAGTTAAAGTGTGAAAAAAATTACTAAAGGAAAGACCCATTACCCCTTTCCTCCCCCTGAACCCTGCTTACCAAAGACAACCACTTGCAACTCTTTTAGCTGAGTGTGTGTGTGTGTGTGTGTGTGTGTGCGCGCGCGCGCGCACGTGTGCACACGGGCATATGTGTGTGTGTTAGACTGTGAGGTGTGCACACACCTGGGAAGTGTGTATGTGTGTGCTTCCCCAGTACCTCAGAAACATGCTTTGCTCTCAGACTTCCCCATTTGACTCCTGATACAGAGGCAGACACTTGTCCCCCAACCTATCACTATTTTCCCAGCCCTAAAGCATGTACGTACCTCCCCTCTCTACATCCACCAGTAATATTAAATATTTGATACTTTCATATAAATTTTAATATTTCAAATTGAGTTAAATTTTACATGTTATAATATGTAAAAGTTGTTCACTGCTACCAACTATACCAACAATACTCCAGATGTCACTGCATCTAAGAATCAATCTGATTACCTCACAATATATGCAAACCAAATCATGTTATATATCTAAAACTTATAAAATGTTTACATTTCAATTATATCTAACTTTAAAACCATCCATTGCACTGTGAGCTATGAAGAAAGAAAGCATGCTGTCAAACTCCTTTATTATTTAAATTTTAATGTCAGCTTATTGAAAGTGCTCTTATTTGATACATTTTTGTGGCACACTCATTTCATGTATACAAAAATATGCAAGGAAAATTGATCATGTCCTTAATCTTCTTTGAATTCAGAGTTCATCTCTTCTAAATCATTTTCCTATTCATTTTCTGGGGTTCAATTTTTGCTGTTTCCTATTTTGCTTTCCAGAGTCATTCTTTGAGCCCCCCAGTGGGTCAGTGATGCATCAGTTCTTAAAGAGTATTCTGCTCTGGTCTCAAGTGTTTTCTTGCAAGCTGTCGATCCCATTCTGTGAGTCTGGATGCTGGCCCTTTCTGGCTCTGACCAGAAGGTGTCCACAGAAGGTTTCCCCACATGCCAAGACTTAGATTCCCTCTTCATATAATCCTAAAATGGTGTGAGGATGGAAATGTCAGTGAGTCGCTGCTTGTCAGATGAGAAACCAGGAATAATTCACACACAGCCGAGCTACGGCCGCTCTCAGACCTGGCATGTCAGACTTGCAAGGATAGATGCCTTTGGCCAAAGAGGGGACCTGATCTCACACTTAATCAAATGCTTAAGAATTAATGGAATTGATGGAATACACCTCTTCTAATGAAACTTTCCTTCTTGACCAACTTTGTTTCCATGGATTGAGTAACTGCCTTCATTTTCTTAGTTTATTTCATGACTTTCATGTCATTTTCCCCAAATCCGTTAAGTTCTTCAAATCCTTCTTACTATCATTGGCTTAAAGTACAGGGAAACAGTTCCAAGAGTCTCTTTATTTCCCTCTTCTCTCATGCCCCTACCTCTGGCATCTGCCCCAGCAGGATGGGTGCCCTGAAGATCCCCTGCTTGGCTAAAACCTAGGATTGGCTTTATCTCCCCTTTGGTCCTGAGGCAGTCATGTTGCTTTTTTCTGGTTTACTTCTTATTTTGGTGGACCATATTTCCAGCATCCTCCCAGGAAAGGGAATACAGATGAATTTTTTTGAAAATGTTTTCATGTTCAATTCCTGTTAGTCACACACTTAATTGATGACTTTGATAGAGAATTCCCAGTTGAACATAGCTTCCCATCAGAATTTTAAAGGCATTTATTCCTCCATGGTCTTCTGGATTCCAGTTTTGCTGCTGAGCCTGGTGTTGCTTCTTCCAGTCATAACAGGGATAAAATGTGAGAAACACATCAAGAGGTGTTTTCATCATTGTGTGAGCATTCCACAGTGTTCTGAGACGGTACCGCCTCCACAGACTTCCTGTGCCACTCCAGGCTCTGTCTAGGGACCCCACCAGGGACACATTCATGATGCACTGACCCCCATAGTCCCCATCCTCTGCAGTGACCCTTTTCTTTTCCCCTTAGGATTTCCTCCTGAATCCTGATTTTTACACACTTGTGTCTTCGTGCAGTTGTCTTGGGGGAAACAGTGTGAAGTCTCACTTTTTGAGCAAGGTTCTGAGATTGTTATCCTTATCTTTGTTCTCTCTTTCTCCCCCATTCTCTTTTTTTTTCTAACTCTTATTAATCCAATGTGCTATTGGCCCTTGTGAATAGAACCTCTAGTTTTCTATTATTTTTTAGACCATTACCAGTGATGCTCAGAGATTACTCCTGGTTTTGTGCTCAAGGGTCACTCCTGGCAATGTTCAGGGAACCAACAAGGGTTCCAAGAACTGAACCCCGACTATCTGGTTTTTAATTTCTTGCTTCTTCTTGTAGTCTATGGGATTATTTTCTTCAATTTGTCCTGATCCTTCACTTTGACTATGATTTTCTCGATCGCATTGTCAAGTTCCATATTTGGGGGAAGGTCACACCCAGTGGGACTGGGGGTCTACTCCTGGTTGCTCCTGGTAGTACTTAAAGGGTTATGGATGTCAGGGATTAAGCCTGGTCCACCTGCATGGAAAGCATGTTTTGCATGCTCTCAACACAAAGTGCACTGATCTCCCTAGCTCCATATTTTCAATTTATAGCTTTAACGAGCAAATTTTGTTTTTAATCTGAGAAGTCTAGTCTTTAGGCACTGAATGGAGGTAAAGTGATATGCATGATCCTTAGCAGTAACATCATTGTAAGCCACAGTGCCTAAAAGTGGGGGAGGAGAAAAAGAAATAGAGAAAAGGCAGGCTGGGAGGTAGAGGAACTGGGGACATTGGTGGAGGGAAGGGAACACTGGCGAAGGGATTTGTGTTGGAATATTAAATGCTTACAACTCAACCATAAATCATTTTGTAACTTTTTAATTCACAGGAATCAGTAAA